GTAATCGGCGTGTGAACAGCGAGAACTACAGGGCTAGCTAGCTCCCTATTAAGTGAATTGTACCTACATCAACTCGAAATTAACTAGCTCATCGTGAACCCTCGATGAGATATCAAGGAAGTTCCAGACTAGAAGGAAGACTTTATATTGCGTGTAAGTTTGTAAAACATTTGTATATAAATCATTGTTTGTATATTAAAATATATTCGTATTAGAAAATAGAAAACTGTGTGTATCAATCTTGTTGGCAAATATCATAAATTGGAGATATATCAGCATATATTTAACTACCAAATTTAAATTATCATTTAACTCAATTTCAGGCTATTAGAAATTGTCATACATAACACAGAGGATTGAGCACATAGACAAGACTCTCTCAAGTGATGCTTCAAATTTCATGCTGATGTAGTTAGTTGTCTGTGTTGTTTCTTTTGTAGACACTTTTCAATCACATCACAGTTTACACGATTTACACCAATGGTCTACAGATTTCCAGCATCTAACCCAGTAGAAGCATTCTCTTATCCTCTCCATTGTCTTCTTAACCCCTAATTGCCCAATTGTTGGAAGGTTGTGGAGGTGATGGAGTGCTTCAGATTGTATTAATTTACAAGAAAATAAAAGAAGACCTGCAAGAACTAAACAGCAACTAAGAAGAAAGAGATAGCAAAATATATAAGGAGATCAAGAATTTAAGAGAAAGAAAAGTACTATCTAAGAAAGAATTAAAATCAAAATAAAATTTAATTGAAAACAGAACCAATAAAACTGTCGGAGAAGTACAGAGAGATTACAACAATAAGATTAAAGAAGTATGTAATGACAAGATTAATAAAATCAATAGTGAAGTAGAAAAGAGCGTCATTGGGATATAAAAAACATAAGTGACAAAATAAAAAATAAGAAAACAAATTATTTAATGGAAAGAGTAAAACAGGTACACCTCTTCTGTACCAGCTCTGGAGTTCCAGCTGAGAATGCCATCTACTACAAGATATTGAATAACAGAACTTATTTAGTTTACACCATATAACCAACACTACTGTACCGCCTGTTACTGAAAGACCTTCCTGGACTACTTCTGCCATAACACTATCAAATTCAGTTCCAAATTTTACTTGCCAATTGAACATCAGCCAGTTGAGAAACCAATGGACTATAATGGGAAGATATCATGGGAGTCAAAGCAATCTCAGTTTGAAGTCATTTACAGAGTGAATGAATGAAATTATAAGCAACAAGCCATCTATCTAACTGCCCATTTAAAAGACAATAGACACTTCAAATGTAAATTCAAGGGACATATTGCCAGGAACTTAAGGCAAAGACCTATATGAAATATGAACTCTCAAAAGATACCAGAAAGAGATAACTGTTACAATTGTGAAAAACCTGACTATTACAGTTGAGGATGTAAGTATTCAATAATTGTAATCAAGTCAAGGAGACAGAGCCCAACCAGATCAAAAACATTAATTGGTTTTAATTAGTTTTATGAGGTGAAATTCAGCTGAGAATACTCCATTCATCCCAAATGAGAATAAAAGTTCATTATTTGAGAAATATCGTTCACGAGTCCATTGGCTTATTGATGAACAAATTTTACAGTATGCTGCTTGACACTGATTCTACAGCTGCAAGTATTCGACCCAATTTATTAATGAAAGAAATGAAATTGCATCGAGAGTTGAATAAATAAGAGGGGTTGAAATGAACAGCAGGTAGAAATAAAGTTCCAGTAAAAGGGAAGTTGAAAGGTACCATTACTGTAGGGAGCTTTTACATACTTTGTGAAGTTGGGTTACCTTGTACCTTGAACTCTGATTGTAGTGGCGTTTGCATTTTGGACCGTTACAAGCTGACATTTGGAAAAAGTGTATATCAGTAGCTGATTTCATGTGGACACAAGGCTGTAATGTTAGACTAGCTTCACATAAGAGTTACTAAACTGGAGGTTGAACTTCCAATGTAAACAAGAATGGTAGTAATTGCACCACCAAGGAATGAAATACTTGTACCTGGTGTTATGAACAACAATTCTTCATATGGTGGCTGGATCATAGTGGAATCAAATACTCGAACATGTCATGAGAGATTGATAGTTGGAACAGCTCTTCTGAATAAAAAGAATAAAGATGCCATATATTACTTTACCCAGAGAAAAATTTAATCAGCTTGTGATAAAGCAAAAAGTATTTATACTGTAATTGCTGACAAAATTGGATTATATTGAGGTAACATGGTATGGTTGTACAGTTCTTGTCATGAGAGAGGAAAAACTCCAAAGTTTATTAGTTGTTTGGAGGAGAGGCAATCCAAATCAAAGGCCATCAATTGTGATTGCCCTTGAAAGTACAATGGAGAGAGAGAGAAAGCCAGCTGCATAACTCCAGAGAAAAACTACCTAGCAGAACATCAACCTTCTGAGAAAGCCCAGAATTCCTGGGGAGACTAATTCCAGAGGTTCATCAAAATTGAAGCTGCCAGTGGATTCACTTGACCAATTACCCAGGAAGAACTCCCCCAGTGACGGGACAGCCAGAGATAACAAGAAACTAGATTCCAGCCCAATCTGTATATTATGGACCCCATAAGATAAAACTACCAAAAAAGACTTGGTGAATGGACAGTTTAGTGTAGTTTTTTATATTTTTTATATTAGGATTGCTCAAGGGGCTTCACAGTCCAGGAAAGGGTAATGTTATATGCTATATTTATATCACTGTTATTTCACTGGTGATGTTTTTTTTTATTTGTGAGATAGCAAATTCTGTATCTATTTTGTTATGGTTTTGTTTATCATTCTTTTGTTATTCCTTCTATCATTTCATTTAGCTATGAATTTGGAGTTACAATAAAGCACTAATTCACCTTCTTGCTGACCACGTTGATTTTCAGTAAGTATGTATGTATTATGAAACTGACATCACCTTTATCTAGTGATGATGTACAAATGCTATTAATGTTGTGAAATATTATGTAAATTAGCTAGTCACATGAGATGTAATCTCATGGTCTAATGATTAAATAAAAGCCCCGCTATGAGCTTCAACGAGTTAATTCACAAGATACAGCTAAAGTATTATTATTGATTAATACTCGATGTTGTTATTGATCTTCTTGGTTGTTTGAATACGGAATACAGCTATTTTGGAATTAGTTTTGTTCTTCTGGTTCTTTTTCCCTGTTCCTTTACTTATTGATATTTATGTTCTATTGTTCCTTAACAGGCTAGTATTTATTAACTGTGTTTTTGGTAAGTGATAAGCTTTGTATTCCTATGTTGTAAAAGTGTTTTTTTTTTATTACTGTGGTTGTTTAATATAGTTGTTTTTGTTGTTGTTCAACCCTGGTCATTGTGGCTGTTTGTTTTTAGCCAACATCCAGTCCAAGTAACAATAACAGATTACTATATTTGCCCCTTTAACGTTTCTACAAACTTGAATACTTGTAAGCTGCCATAAATTGCTATGTTATAAATAACGTTATAGAATGTAAAATAAATCAGTTTATTTGTCCAAAGTTACCTCATTAGCTAACACACTGACTGTTCACTCTATATCTTGAACACACTCTCTTAACAATATCCTTGACTATCTTTCAGCTCACTTTCTCACTAACCTCTCGGCGCTTCAGGGATTGTTGTATGTATAATCTACACTTGTTCTAGATATTTCTAGGACGAGCTTGATCTTAACTTCTTGTGCCCTCTATCTAACATCTAAGATAAATAAATCACAACATTATAAATATAGCTTGTAACAATATATATATATATATCTTGCCAGAAAACCCATACTTAACCAATTAAGTAAATGAGATACTTTAATTTCCTATGCTTCATATCCAACTTTCTTGTCTATTTGCTTTATCGCTAGAAATTCATTATGATTATTATTTACCGCCTTAATTAAGGAATCTTTAACATACATTAACATGTATAACGTTAAAACAATATTTTTAAGTAGTTTATATTCATTTTTCTTTAAATATGTTTAAGTACTGCATAAATTGTCTGTGTTTACATACGATTAGTAGGCGTGCTCCAAATGATCACATGGTGTCAGGACAAGTGTTTCTGAGAGTAAACGTGTTTCTTCCGCCTGCTCAGAGGAGACTTAGCCGCGATTCACCTACAATTGTGAATATAGGATTGAGTGCCGGTTGATGTGGTAGTGAATAATCTACGAAGATAACATTAGCGAGCAACGCTATAGCCATAAAAGTTGTGTTTAATGTAATAACTATATCAGTGTAAGCTTGTAACTAAAAGTAAAGACTAAGATAAAAAGATATTTTAAAGTTCTATATTACTTTAGTGACTTAGTCAAACTATAAACAAAGATAAGCCAGGTCCTGTAACGGTGAGACTAAAAGTCGCCGTATGTGAAGCAAATTTCTGGCTAGGCTAAGCTCATTTTTCCTCATCGTTGGTTAGGCCTAAACAGTGGTTCGTCTTAACCTAAAGCAATCACAATGTGTCCTGTTGTATTATTAGCGATGATTATGGGCTTTCTTATGTTCTTATTAGAATTAACAGCTGCCATCACAGTAAAGTTTATGCCAAATCGTGTAGATAAACTAAAAGTAGGTGATGAGAAAAATGTGAGTTTCTCACTCGTCGATTTCAAGATAGAAGATCGCAGTCAATACCAAGTACTGGTGGCAGATCCGTTTGTGGCTGATGTGAAAAATAACGTATTTAACCAGACCGAAATTCGTGGCAGTGGAACAAATAGTGAAACCTATAATGGTAGTTTCATTTTAACAGGCAAATTTTTAGGACATACATATGTTCGTGTCAAGGCAGTATCAAAATCGGAGTTTAAGGACGATGAATCTGAGCCATTGAAAATCAGTGTTATTAGGAAGGAAAGTACGTTATCGAAAGTCTTCATTGTGTCCGTAGCAACGTTAGTTTCATTAAATTATATTAATATGGGTTGTGCGCTAGATATGAATATTATTTTAGCCGTTTTAAAAAAGCCTATTGCACCAGCTATAGGGTTCGGCTGTCAGTATGTTTTCATGCCTTTGGTAAGTATAGCATTAGCACTAACAATACTAAATAACAGTAACACAGTATTGTTTTAAAACTTGTACAGATAAATGTTACTTTTAAGTTTTAATCGCTTTGAGTCATAATCTCCTTGTGTCAAACATACAATTAGTGAATTACTTCGATAGTGTATCGTTTACATTGGATACCTAGGCTAAGGGTAAGGTGAATAGGTATAAAAGAAATTAAGTGTGATTTTTATACTAAGACTAGTTTTTAAGGATATTGATCCCAAAAGACTGATTCCTATATATGAGGCAGAGTAATTTTAAGAAAATGAAGATTTTTTTTCCCATTATGATTTTAATTCAGGAGAAGATATAATGAGAAATGTAAATACATGAGGGACCAGATCTTTATCAAAACTCCACTGTTATCGATGACTTTATTAAAATATAATAAATTTAAAGAAAGTAATTTCCAGAAGTACAGCCAGAATGAATTCCTATTCATCGCTATTAAGGCCATTCTTATATGAGTAAATGGAGAAGGCTTAAAGAGTATCTGAAATTTTTAATTTTGATCCATGAAATATCAAGCTTAAAATAAACTATTTATCAAAGATTAAAAACTATATTCAAAAAAGCCATAGTAAACACTACTACAAGTTTTTAAGCTGCTCAGAACATCAGTGCAGTCAAGACTTACTTTTATAGTAGTTTGAATACTAAATAAAATAAATACTTACCTTTGCAAGTTTTTTATAAGTTTATGATAGAATTATCTTATTGAATACGAATGTGTGACTTCTAATTTGGATTTATTCAGTGATTTAGATGTAGCAGTTACCACAATATCTTGCCTCATCAGTGTGATTGTGCAGCCTGGCGTGGTTTTGTAATTTAGGCACTCATCTCAAAACCCTCAGGTTGTGAGTTCGATTCTATACTTGAACATGCTCATTCTTTTAGCTGTTGGGGCATTATAATGTGATGGTCAATCCCTCTATTCATTGGTAAAGGTAACCCAAGAGCTGGCAGTGGGTGTCATTGACTAGCTGTCTTCCCTCTAATCTATCACTTGAAAATTGGGAATGGCTTGCACAGATAGCCATCAAGTAACTTTGCACAAAATTCAAACACAGACAAACAAATGGTGTGATTCTTTTTGTTATTAAGGGTCTAATTTCATTAAAAAAAAGTGACTTCATGCTGTTTGACCAACTAGGGTCACTAATTAAGTCTTTAAAATTCTTTGGCCAAACTATAAGAACTTATTCTAACTTTGTCACCCAGCACAAACCAGTTAATAATACATGTAAACTTATTATTTCTGAAGCTTGTACACATGTCATTGGTATTTAAGCATTCACTTTTAACCTGCTAATTAAAATCTAAAGCAGAATACTCATGACCAATCTTTCCAAAACTAACTGTTTTACAAACATAAGTATTATTACTATTAGATTATCATATACTATTAGATATATGATCATACATATGATTTTTATGCACTTTCATGAAATGTGCTATGTTATGTACAGATTATGAAATATATACTTATTTCTGACTAAAAGCTTTTCCATCATTGTTTGTGTGCTAATTTTAAAAATGTTGAGATGTCAGACTGTTTTATATCATTTAGTAAAGATTAAATTGAATACTTGTGCTTTTATTGACTCTGTATTACAGATAGCCTATGGAATTGGGAAACTTCTTTTTGATTCACCTATTCTTCAACTTGGTCTGTTCATATTTGGCTGCAGTCCAGGAGGAGGGGCTAGCAACATGTGGACAGTCCTACTTAATGGAAACCTGGACCTCAGCATCACCATGACTTTTATTAGTACTCTTACTTCCTTAGGTAACTAAGTTTTTATCTTTTCTCATATAAAATGTTTAACTTAAGAACTAGGAAATGAGGGTATTATGTTTCATGTATATTTCTATTATGTATAAATAAATTTTAAAAACTATCTGTATTAAAAAGAGACTATATTTAAGACTATTTATACATTGGCCTTAGAAAAAATTTTCAATAGTTGGAGAATATGTGTGGAATTTGAGGCAGTAGCCTGATTTGTAAGAAAATGCTCATTAGGCCTTTTTGTAGCATTCAACCAAATTGTATTAACCAAATCATTTATTTCTCATCCTCTGATTTATTACATATTGTAAGGTGGAGCTAAAGGCTTGTCAGTTGACTGTTACTGTGTAATGAGTTCACTTGCCTCTTCTATAATAAAAAGCCTGGTAATAAAGCTCTACCAACTTCACCCAACAACATTAGTGAGTTCAGAGCTTTAACTGTACAATAAACTTCTTGAACAACATTAATGAGTTTATAGTTTTAACTGTACAATAAACTTCTTGAACAACAGTAGTAAGTTCAGAGCTTTAACTGTACAATAAACTTCTCTCAACAACATTAGTGAGTTCAGAGCTTTAACTTACAATAAACTTCTTGAACAAAATTAATGAGTTTATAGTTTTAACTGTACAATAAACTTCTTGAACAACAGTAGTAAGTTCAGAGCTTTAACTGTACAATAAACTTCTCTCAACAACATTACTGAGTTCAGAGCTTTAACTGTACAATAAACTTCTTGAACAACATTACTGAGTTCATAGATTTATCTGTACAATAAACTTCTCTCAACAACATTACTGAGTTCATAGCTTTAACTGTACATTAAATTTCTCCCAACTACATTAGTGCGTTCATAGCTTTAACTGTACAATAAACTTCTTGAACAACAGTAGTAAGTTCAGAGCTTTAACTGTACAATAAACTTCTCTCAACAACATTACTGAGTTCAGAGCTTTAACTGTACAATAAACTTCTTGAACAACATTAATGAGTTTATAGTTTTAACTGTACAATAAACTTCTTGAACAACATTAATGAGTTTATAGTTTTAACTGTACAATAAACTTCTCTCAACATTACTGAGTTCAGAGCTTTAATTGTACATTAAACTTCTCTCAACAACATTACTGAGTTCATAGCGTTAACTGTACAATAAACTTCTTGAACAACATTACTGAGTTCAGAGCTTTAACTGTACAATAAACTTCTCTCAACAACATTACTGAGTTCATAGTTTTAACTGTACAATAAACTTCTTGAACAACATTAATAAGTTCAGAGCTTTAACTGTACATTAAACTTCTCCCAACTACATTAGTGAGTTCAGAGCCTTAACTTTATAAGAATAGTGAAAAACAGTGGTCCCAAAATATAATTTACTAGTCATATTCTTCTAGTTGGAGAAATTACCATTCTTTACTTTCTATCACTAAGCCTTATCAGAAAACTCTTAACAAATTAGTTAGTACAGAATTAAAAAAGCTTTTGAAACATGCTGATAATCATCTACTAAATATCAATTTTTCAAATGATTTTGTAAGTTGTCTCTTACAACAGATTATAACATCTTGTTGAAACCAAAAGTCAAACTGAGAAGACTGAAATTTTCCAAACGTTCCCAAAACTTCATTTTTAATCTTTGGAATTTATATATTAGATATCTCTTAAGCGTCAGGAATTTTCCCAATGTCTAGAAATTTTTTAAAAATAACAGTTAAAACTCCTACTGAAACTTTGCTCATTGTCTTTGACATTTTACTCTTTATAAGCTTCAAAGTTTTACAGAAATGGCCTTTTCTTCTACTTAAAGAAATTGGGCAACTTAAAAAATTCTAATAAAAAATGTTGCTTGGTATTTTAGAGATAACATTTTCTGTATCTGAACTAATTTTCAAAAAATCTAGTAACCTGTTTTCAACTAAATCACCCAGACTAATGTCTGATGAAATTGGTTTACCTGGGCTAACATGTAATAAAAAGTCAACTAGTCTTTTTTTTTTTTTTCAATACTCCATTGACTAATTTTACTGGACTATTTAGTTACAATATTTTTTAAGTAACTGGACTTTTGTTTCAAGAGGCATGCTTCAAGTATCTGGCACCATCGCTGTTCCTTATTTACAATAATTACACTGATATGATCATAGTTTGGATATTGGTGAGGCTGCTTATGGTATAAAAATCTTAAATCTTGTTAGCTATGATGAGGATACTATGATATTAAGGGAAGAGACTGTTGGTTGGTTAGGCAAACATACGGCAAGTAGCATTTGATTATGATAAGTGTAAAGTTATGCATAAGAGTTATCATAATATAATTAACACATATATAATTAGAATAGGAATTTTTATTGCTATGTAGATAAGTTAAAAGATCTTGGTATATAGGTGGATACAACCTTTAAATCATCAATATTCAGTGGTGTATTGCAAGTGGTAAAATTAACAAAATTTTGGATTGTATATTAAGGAATATTGAAATGGCCATGGTTTCAATGTACATGTCACTGGTTAGGCCTCATGCAGAGTATCGTATACATTTCTGAGCTTCTTATCTTGGAGAAAACATTGGATTTTTGGAGAGGTTTGAGAGGAAAACTATTAGAATGACTCCTGGGATAGATGGGCTCTCCTGTGAAGGTATATTGAGACCTCTTATTTTGTTCTTTCTTAAAAAGAGAAGTAATAAGTGTGAGCTACTTGAAGTATTCAAAATTAAATTGGAATTGATTGATGCTTGAGGTTTTTTTTATGTTGAAAGAGTGATAGAGGCTTCACGATTACACAAGTTTAAGGAAAGAGTTGATGAATATTTTAGGGCATATGGCTTGACTTAGTAATTACTTCTTTGTTTATTAAGAGATGATGGGAGTCAGGATACCAATGATGAGCCAAAAGGATCCTTGATATCCCATAATTTATCATAAAAAAATTATCAGGGCTTTAAAGAGTTGAAAATGATTTCTTGAAAAAGAAAGAAGGCAGAGTTTTCTGTGTTTCCCGATAACAAATTAGATGCTTGTGAAACAATTGAAATTAATCAAATTTGTTTGAAGCTGTACCTAACATAAATATAGATACTGACATTGTCCAACTATCATGGTTCTAAACAAAACACTAAAACTGCAACAACCTACCCAAATTTTGAGAGTACTATCCTCAATACCTTAAGAAACAAATGTGGCATAAAGAAAATTGGATGTCATTGGAATAAGGGAACAGCATGGTGGGATTGAAAAGTCAGAGAAGCAAAAAAGGAAAAAAATAGAAACATTTTGAAGTATGGTCAAAATTTAAAGGAAGTGGAGGATTATGTAAAGTGTAGAATAGCAAGAAGATACATCCAAACAGTAGTGAAGTAGTCTAAGGAAGAATCCTAGATGAATTATGGTGAACATTTGAATGACCTATGTAAAGATTCCCCCAGAAATTTTCACAAGAGTGTTAAAACCATGTACTTGAAGGATGTGAGTTTTTCAACCCAATATCAATCATCAATGACAGAAATGGTAAACTGCTATATGACAGAACCAAATTCAAAGCGAGATGGGAAGAATACTTTCAAGAACTCTTAAACCTCAAACAGAAAGAACACATCAAGCCATCAAGAGCAGGAAGTAAAACAATAAAGACCACCCCCGAGAACAAAGTTGCAGGAATCAATAGGATAACATCAGAAGTAATAAGAAGGAATCAAGTGGTTGACAGGAAGATTTAATAAAGCAAGAAAAAAGAGAAAAGTACCAAAAGACTGACAAAGAGCTATGTTGATACCAATTTCAAAAAGAAAAAAGTAAGAAAGATTGCAGCACTTATAGAGACATTTCCCTCCTTAGTCATGTGGTCAAGATGCATGTGAAAATCCTAGAACAACAGACAAGATACAAGGTTGAACCATTCGTAAGTGAGGTACAGTTTGTTTTCAGGAAAGGCAAAGGTTGCACTGATGCAATATTTACAATAAAGCAACACAGTGAGAAGGCCATTGAACACCAACAAGGATTTAATATGTTTTTATAGATCAAGAAAAAAGCATTTGATCATGTTAATAAAAACAAATTGTGGAATGTACTAGAAGTTTATGGAGTGCAAGGTCAGCTCTTGGACAACATAAGAGTAATGTCTGCAGACAGTAAAAGTGCTGTGAGAACCACAAACAGCCTACCTGATAGGTTCCAATTATCATTTATAGTGAAACAAGGCTGTGTTTTGTCCCCTATTCTATTCATCATTTATATTGGCCAGACAATAAATAAAGCAAATCTAGAAGCCTTAAGCAAATTACATTTTGATGATGACCAAAGTTTGATACATCTAAGTGAGGAAGAACTACAAAATTACACAAATAGCCTCAACAGCAGCTGCCAAAAGTATGATATGAAAATTAGCACAGGAAACATAGAAGCAATGCTAGTAAGTAGAAAACCACATCAGTTAAATGTCGATATTAATAACACCATGTTACAACAGGTCAATGAATTAATATACCTGGGAAGTATTTTCATGGAAGATGGAAGAATAGATAGGGAAATTGTTAACAAGAATACAAAAACTGAACTATGTAAACTGCCAATTAACACCTCTCCTGAAACACCCTAATATCCCAATAGAAATAAAGTGGAAGTTAATAAACATCATCTTTGTACCAACCCTATGTTACCAATATCAAACCTGGACTCTTAATAAAAAGTCAAGAACAGAAAATCATTACTTACAAAATGAGATGCTTATAGAAAGCTGCTAACATAACTAGAAGAGACAAGATGAGAAATTTACAGGTCAGAGAACTCGTTGAAATAGCTCCAATCAGCAAGATGAGATGCCTATGGAAAGCTGCTAACATAACTGGAAGAGACAAGACAAGAAATGTAAAGGTCAGAGAAATGGTTGAAACAGCTCTTATCAGCAAGATGAGATGCCTATGGAAAGCTGCTGACATAACAAAAAGAGACAAGATATGTAAAAGTTAGAGAAATGATTGGAATAGCCCCAGT